CTGTGGGGGGAGGGGTACCAGGGATTGAACTCAGGTCCTTGCGCTTACAAGGCAGGCGGCAGAACCACTGAGCTAAATCCCTGGCCCTCTCCAGACTTCCTTTCCTGTGGCCAGCCATGAAGAAATTCTCTGACCCACCTCTGCCTGACACAGTAGGTCATAAGACCTTCCTCATTGCAAGGGGTCTTGCCCCATACCCAGAAGGAAAGGAATGCTGCACAAAGAGGCCAAGTAGAATCTGAATGTCACACCTCATTGGTTTTTCCCAATCAGTCTATTAGCATTAGAGAATATTCTTTTTGTCCAGTCACCTTCAACACATTCTTCAATCATGCAACAATGAACTATCTATAAAAAAATCCAAGAGCACAGGGATCAGAGAGCTTCTGAATAAACATGTGGAGGTGTCTGGAGGGTGGTCAAGACAGACATGGCACAGAGGCTCCACACCCCTTCCCTCTGCACTCTTCATCTGTATCCACTGTAATATCTTTTATAATAAACTGGTAAATGCCCTGAGCTATGTGAGATGCCTGAACAAATTATTAATTGAACACAAGAAGGAGGCTAGTGAAAACCTGATTTATGTAGCTGGTCAGTCAGAAGCACAGGTAAAGCAACCTGGGGGCTTGTGACTAGCACCTAAACAGGAGGGAGGGACAGTCTGGGACTGAACTGTCAACTGTTGGGATTTGACACTATCTCTGGTGGAGAGTGTCCAAATTTAATCGAGTTAGAAGACACCCAGCTGATGGCTTCTGCAGAACTGGTAGCTTACTTAGTGTGAGAGGAACCCCTCTCCCAATCTGATGTCAGAAGAAATCTGTGTTGTGAATGCATGATAGGAAAAGCTTAGTGAGTCGTAATTTGTTTTCCTAAACACAAGTACCAATAGTATAGTAATACAGTTAATGAAGGGAAAAAAATATATACATGCACGTATACAACACTGAAAATTTCTAGAAGCATATTCAATAAACCAGTAGTGTTTAGCTGCAGAGCAAGAAGAGAACATGGGCGGGAGGGGGGCGGGGCACGAAGATTTAACTTCTCTATGATCTGGTATATTTAGGACATATATATATATATATATATATATATATATATATATATATATATATACACATACATACACTCACACACGTATGAGAAACTTTTCTTACAGGAGGCTTAATCTGGCTTACGAACATAAGGGAAACTTACGCATGCACTATGTAACACTGAAAATTTTTGGAAGCATACACTAGAAAGTAAAAACAATGGTTATCTCTATTGAGAGCCAGGTCAGGAAAGAGGAAGAGGACTACACTGTGCCTCTTCTGTGCTGCTTGGATCATTTACAACCAACACACACTGCTTTTATAATTATTTTGTTTATTCATTTTGTGTGTGGTATGCACCTATGATACTGGGAATCGACCCAGGACCTTGTATATACTAGGCAAGCATTTGACCACCGAGCTATACTGATATACCCCCAGTCCTTTTTATTTTTTATTTTGAGGCAAGATTTTGCTAAGTTGTCCAGGTTGGCCTGAAACTTGTGGTCCTCCTCTCAGCCAAACCACTGTGCCTGGGTTTTTGTTTTTTTAATTAATGTAACCAAACTCTCAAATACAATTGATGGGAATATCCTTTCCAAAAGCAACTGGCAATGTGTATCAGGAACATTTAAAAATGGTCACATCCGCCCATCAGGAAGATAGGGTAAAAATTGGGAGCCAGCTTACCCAGTTCAAACTCTGTACCACTTACTGTTAATGAACCTCTCTGTTTCTCAGTGTCCTTACCCAGACAGTTGATATGAGGACTAAATGAGTTAATAGTATATGTTAAAGGGCCAAGGATTTAGCTCAGTAGTGCCGGCGCCTGCCTTGCAGGCAACAAGGTCCTGAGTTCAATCCCCGGTACCAAAAAAAAAGTATGTTAAGTTCAGTGGCATATAGTAGAAAGCATGCAGTAAGCACTCAATAAAGGCAGCCAAGAGGAGTGGGAATGGTAATTTATCTAAGGAAATAGGCAGCATGTGGAAGATACCTTTTATATACTCAGAAAATGTAATAGGAAAAGAAGAAATCACTATTCATATAAAGAACAGGTAACCACCACATTACAATTTGCCTATTTGCCTACTGTAGGTCTTCAAGGTAGCTTTCTTTTTTTGGTACCAGGGACTGTACCCAGAACCTTGCACTTGCAAGGCAGGTGGCGGCACCATTGAGCTAAATCCCTGGCAAAGGTACCTTTCTATTACAATCATGATCAGAGAATTAACTACTTTGAATTTAAAGGTGGAAGTTACAAACAAAACAAAAAAGGCAAAAATATTGTTTTCAAAGATTTGAGTAAGTGGGGCCGGGGATTTAGCTCAGTGGTTCAATCGCCTGCTTTGCAAGCACAAGGACCCAAGTTCAATCCCCGGTACCAAAAAAAAAAAAAAAGATTTGAATAAGTTGCAAGAACTGTACAATTTCCTGGGCAGAACCCAAACCACATGCTTAAATGGCTCGCTCCTTCGCACAGACAGGAGTAGCTCCCACATTTCAGTAGACCACGGCCCTCCCTCAGGGAACAGAAATAACAGGTCCCAGTGAAGTTCTGAAAATACCAGTTACTAAGAATCATGAGAACTCCAGCTGACCAGGTCCATTTTAATGATAGAAACCTTCATGAATCATCTCCAAGAATACAGAAACTGGCCTGGGACAGGACATCCAAAGCTCCTTAGAGGAAAATCCCTGAGCTGTGATTACTACTTAAAATCCTCAGTGTCCTGGTGGGCGTAAACATTAAATGGGGCTCATTTCATAATCAAATTTATAATCCACCACAGCATGGATTCAGCCTCTTGTGAATTACACATTACTTATGTGTAATCTTCCATGTTGCCAACCTTTCAGTCATTAGAAGAACATGAGCTAAATATACTTTAACCTCAACTTCTAATTAGAAGATAGTATTTCATGATTATTCAAATATAATTTTTGTTTTTCTATATTATTCTTAAATTAAAATCACTGAATATTTACTATATAGTAAAAACCTTTTTTAAAAAAAAACAAAAAAACTAAAAACCTTTCCCCCCACCCCTGGGTTTTTGAGACAAGGTCTTGCTAAGTAATTCAGGTTGTCCTTGAACTTACTACTAGGTAGCCCAGGCTGGCCTCAAATTTGCAGCAATCTGTCTCAGCCTCTTGTGTGCTGAGATGACAGGTGTGTTATCAGGCCCAGCAAAGTTGAGGATTAAACAACAGCATATTTAAGAAACAAAGTGTTTACTGTACAGTCAAGCTATACAGTCTCTCACTAAGAAATAATGTCATAGGGCCAGGGATTTAGCTCAGTGGTTCCGCCACTTGCCTCGCAAGAATAAGGACCCGAGTTCGATCCCTGGTACCAAAAATAAATAAATAAATTTTAAAAATAAAAAAATAAGGGCCGGGGATTTAGCTCAGTGGTTTCGTCGCCTGTTGCGCAAGCACAAGGACCCGAGTTCGATCTCCGGTACCAAAAAATAAATAAAAAATGAAAAAAATAAAACCAACTTCCAAAGAAATAATGTCATTTTGGGCTGCAGATTTAGCTCAGTGGTTCTGGCTCCTGCCTTATAAGCGCAAGGAACCTGAGTTCGATCCCCGGTACCAAAACAAAACCAGAAAGACGGAAATAATGTCATCTTATTTGGTCAGAGGCTGCAAACCCTGATTGAGGAGCTCTAGAGTAAAATGCCTTGATTTATGCCTTCTGTTACTTAGTAACTATAACCAATGACTTCATCCCTTTGTGCCTGGGTTTGCCTATCCTCAAAATGAGAATAGTCTGGTTTGGGGGTTGTTTTTCTTTTTAAGCTTTTTTGAGACAAAGTCTCACTGTGTAGTAAAGACTGGCCTTGAACACTTAACCATCTTCTTGCCTCAGTCTCCCAAGTACTGGGATTACAGGCAAGCACCATCACCCCCAGCCCAGAATAGTCCTTAACTCACAGAGTAATGCAAGGATTAATCAATTCATAGTGCTCTGAATTTTAGCATATAATAAGTAATTATTTTTTTTTAAAGTAATTATTGCTATCATGTTTTAGGGTTTTCTTTTGATAATGTTCTCCCTGTGATAACAAGTTTTCCATTTATAGTGATAACAAATTTCCTTCTTAAATAAGTTAATTTAAATAATGCCATGGTTTGAAAATATAAATTTCTTGTGTTGAAAACATAATCCTTGGGCCGGGGATTTAGCTCAGTGGTTTCGCCGCCTGCCCTGCAAACGCAAGGACCCAAGTTCGATCCCTGGTACCCAAAAAAGAAAACATAATCCTTAAACTCACTATGTCAATGGTCTTTGAAGATCGGACTTTTTTGTGGGGGGCAGTGGATCATGGTGAGTGGGTGGTGAAAGCTGTGCCCTCAGGGTCAGTGCGCCCATAGATTAATGGGTTATGCAGGGAGTGGCCTTGTTCTCTCTGGCACACCTACTCTGTCTTGCCCTGCAATGGCCTCCACCATGTTACGATGCAGCCGGAAGACCCTCACCAGATGCTGAGCAGATGCAGAGCTGTGAACCAAATAAACCTCTATGGCTTTATCCATTACCCAGTCTCCAGTAATATGCTGAGCAACAGAAAATGGATTAAGACATGTAAGAAAATGAAAACCATCAAGGTTGTACAGATAGTTAAATGAGTCTGAACATGAGGTTAACTAAGACTGTGCCAAACACACAAAAATGAACACTTTTTCCCATTTATCAGAAGCTTAGTTTTTTTTCTCCAAGACAAAGCTTTAATGGCTTTTGTTTTTTTTACTATAACTCAAAAGATCCTCTGTACTTGAACTCCCAGCAAGTTGAGGAAATGTGACAGGCGCAGCTCTGCTTATGCACTTCTTCCCATCTCTTTCCAGCCCAGGCTTCCAATCACCAACACTGAAAGAGCTGGTGGACTGAGTGTTTGCCCCACCCACTGGTACCTCCATGAGAACCCTCTGGGACACGAGCCAACTAACCTTCAGGGCTTTGAAGATGACCCCTGGATGCCGGGGAGAACGGGTGGTATTGTTCTCTAGCTGCTGCTCCAAAGCAAGCCGGAGCCCAGAGAAGTCTGTAGGGGGGTTGTAAGTCCTGGTTCCTTTGTAGTGAATGGAACTAAAGGCTTCAGGGAAGCGGCCTAGCTTCCTGAACCGGTCCTGGATGAGTTTCTCTGGCACATCGGAGGGGTGATCTGTAAAAGCAGAAACATGCATGTGAGGAGTGAGTGACTCTCTTCTTACAAAGTTGCCTATCTTTCATTATAAAAGTAGGACACAGTCTACTCCCTATATAAAAAATACACATACAAGCACAACTGATATGGTATTATAATTAACAGTGTTGGGTTAACCTTGCCTGGAAAGGAGCATTAGGAAGGCTTTCATGAGGAGGGTGAAGGTGTTTCATGATCTGCTGATACATGAGTGTCTTCAGGTTGTGAAAATCCATCATGTTACCATATCGATATGATGTATACTTTTTTATGTGTATATTACACTTCAAGGAAGAGGCTTTTTTTTTTTCTGTATGAGGGACTGAACTCAGGACCTTGCAGTTGCCAGGCAGGTGCAGCACCACTGAGCTATATCCATGGCCCAAGGAAGAGACTTTTTATTTTATTTTATTTTTTTTGGTACCAGAGATCAAACTCGGCTCCTTGCGCTTGTGCAGCAGGCAGCGAAACCACTGAGCTACATCCCCGGCCCTGGGAAGAGACTTTTTAAAAAAGTGTTCACTGTAAGAAAAATCTAGACAGGTCAGCAGGACATGGTGGCACATGCCTATAATCCCAGCACTCAAGAGCCTGAGGCAGGAGGATCACTGAGTTCAAGGCCAGCCTGGGTTACATAGTAAGCTTAAGGCCAGCCTGAACTACCTAGTGAGATGCTATCTCAAAAAATTAAAAAAAAAAAAAAAAAAGCAAAAGTCAAGGTATGTCAAAGCATAAAAGACACATATAGCCTCTTCTCACTCGTACTCTCCAGAGGTAAACTACAGTTCCCCACTCACCTTTTCAGACTTTGTGTTGCCACACAATACGCAGCCTGCAACCTGCTTTCTTATTGCTTAGGGACATATTCAACCAGCACTTACTAATGAGCATTTCCAATTCTATATCTTGAAAATGTTGGTCTTGTATGATGAAGCTGTGTGAGGGTCCAACCTCGCCCAGGTCTCACTCTTTGTCCAGTAATGTGGGTGGTTATAAAACAGATGCATTCAATAAATGTTTGGAGGGAAAGGCTGGAAAGACTTTTTTGGCAGCGGGGATCGACCTCAGGACCTTGTGACTGCGAGGCAGGCGACAGCGCCACTGGCCTAAATCCCCAAGACTTTTCGTTTTAATCTCTAATATTTTAACAATAAAATACTCCAATTAATAGTGAATATACATACTAGTTCAAATTAAAAGGAAAACCCACTAATAGAGTCCTAACTGTAATCATTCCCTACACCCATCTCATCTTGCACTTTTTCTTTTTGCAGTACTGGGATAGACCCCAGGGGCACTTTACTACTCAGATACATGCCCAGACCCTTTTTATTTGTTTTGAATTTTGAGACAGAGTTTCACTAAGTTGCTCAGTCTGATCCACCTGCCTCAGCCACGGGAGTACAGGCACATGCTACTTCATCCAGCATCATCCAGAACTTCTGAAAGAAGTAGCTAAATCAGGCTGAGGATTTAGCTCAGTGGTTTCGCCGCCTGCTGTGCAAGTGCAAGGACCTGAGTTCGATCCTCAATTCCAAAAAAAAAAAAAAAAAAGAAGTAGCTAAATGGCCATCAGTCACTGACTTCTCCCAAAGCCAACAGGACCCCAGTCTGGCTACCTTCACTTCCTTCAAACACCACCTCACAGCTTGTCCCTGGACATACAATCACTGCTCCAAAATGACTTGCTTCTGCTCATTTGTAAAAGAGAAATACAGCAAGAAAAAGAAGTAATTTAAAAAACTGAAATATGGTTGAACAACCCTGAAGTAAAAATTAGAAATCTAAAATGCTCTAAGCTCTGAAACTTTTTTGAGCATCATATTTTGGAGTTTTAGATTAAGAATGTTCCACCAGTAAGCTCTATCCAAACATTCTACAATCTAAAATCTGACACCTTTACGGTTTCAGGCATTTTAGACAAGGGATACTCAACCTATAATTCACTTTACTACTAATCTCCTACCTAGGAATTCTGTATCCATAAAAGATGATAAAATAATTTTAATTTTAATGATTAAATAGATAATCAAATATTCTAAAATATATATATATAAATATATATAATATTCATGGCTGGGGATTTAGCTCAGTGGTTCCACCGCCCACCTCACAAGCCCAAGGTCCTGAGTTCAATCCCCAGTACCAAACAAAAAAAATTTTATGAGACAGTAAAAATTTACCAATTTGCTCACAATTCTGTCATCCTTCCTATCTTGTATAAAATCTGGCCACCCTAATTCCATTTTGAACTGTAACTATTCCAAAAACAGGTCTTAGGCCAGGGCTCTACCTCAGTGGTTCCGCCACCTGCCTTGCAAGCACAAGGACATGAGTTCAATCCATGGTATCAGTCAAGAACTTTTTTTTTTTTTTTTGTCGGGATCGATCGCACGCGCTTGCGCGCGCTTGGGCAGCAGCCAATGAAACCACTGATGGGATTCATAATCATCAGGCTGCTGAAGAAAGGCCTTGAGGTTATTTAGGATTTTCTGTTGCCGTAGGTAGTAAAGAATTTTTTTTTTTTTTTTTT